TTCTAATGGCAAAGCCCTGAAGCTCGCAATCTGCTGCACTGTTTCAGTCAGTGTTTCACATGTTTTCACGAGCGATAGTATACATTTGACAATTGAGATTGCTCTGCATATTTGGCAAAATCAGAGCGAGCCAGTCAGGATAATTTGTCTCTTGTATCGTAACTGGCTTAAACCAGCATAGAAGGGGTTGAACGGAAGGTCGCAAAATTCACAAATAATATCTCGTTTAACTGGGCGTATACACTGCTGCTTGCCACATTTGCGGTTAGGTGGAATCAATTCCATTGAGGGCCGTTGTTGAAAACGAACGCTGCCCTTGTCTAGTCATGTGAGGTGGATGGCGGGTGACGCTCGCGTTCTTTGTCCTGGTTGCACTCGCGAAGTCGGTTAACATAGACGCCTGTGCACGACGAGGACACACGTACATAGAGTTTGGCTAGTTTATTGATCTACACTGGTTCCTGCAGGACAAAGCCGTTGGAAGTGGTTTGTAGTGGGTGAATGGCAGCGAAAAGTGACGGGAATGGGCGAATGCAATTGAAACCACAGATTTAGTCGTAGTTTCGTTAGAAATGGTCCTATGGACGAAGCTCTAGGACCACCAGATAGCGCGGAGAATCCTTGCTCAATCACAGTATTGCAGCGGTGAAAACGATTAAAAACAACAGAGTGCCGCGTACGAATAGAATCACGAAGCGCGCTAAAACAACTTGGGTAGCACAAAGCAATTTCCGTAGGAAATAGTTCGGCAAAAATATGCCCACTGAACATAGGGAGTTAATCCGATTTCAGTGAGTGTATGATGACTGCGCTAGGGGAAGAGGAAGACGTGAAACTCTGCGACAGAGCAGGGCAGGTTTACTATGCTTGTTGAACACGGTTTGCCGAAACTTGCGTGGGACGACTGGGCGCGGCGTGCCCAAAGATAAATCGCAGAGTATAGTTCCGTCTGATGATGTCAGCGGAACGGGTCGTATGTCCAATGAGGGAGACCCGCGTAGTAGACCAACCTCAGCGCCGTTGAGCTGCGCTATGGCCATGGGTGTCAAGTCAATAACAGTGCCGGCGTCAACGCAGATAGCTTGGATGCGGGAAAGTGCATCGGCGACGGCTTTGTGCACACCTGAGACATGCCGTATATCGGTCGTAAACTGAGCGATATAGTCAAGGTGGCGCGACTCTCTAGGAGAGTATCGGTCGGTAGTCGAGCCGAGCATGTAAGTCAGGGGTTTGTGGTCGGTGAAGACGACAAAGGAGCGGCCTTCTAAGACGTGTCGAAAGTGACGTATCGCTGGACATACGGCTAGTAGTTCTCTACCAAACGTGCTGTGGCGAGTTTCGGTAGGTTGCAGGCGTTTGGAGAAAAACGCTAAGGGCTGCCACGTGTCGGCTACTCGTTGCTGTAAAATAGCGCCGACTGCCACGTCCGAGGCGTCAGTACTGAGGGACAGTGGGGCGGCCGGATCGTGGTGCGCTATAGAAGCTATGTTGGCGATAGCCTTTTTCAGCGACTTAAAAGCAGCGCTAGCTGCGGCAGGAAATTCGAATTTCTTGAGTTTCCCTCGGAGAAGGTCCGTGAGGGGTTGCATCAGCGAGGCGTAGTTGGGTATAAATCGTCGGTAAAAGTTGACAAGGCCATCAAAACGCCTCAGCTGTTTGAAAGAATGAGGCTCGGGGTAGTCGATGATGGCTTGAATTTTATCCTGCAGTGGCACGACGCTTGCAGAAAAGATACGATGTCTCAGGAAATTGACTGCATCAACACCAAACGAACACTTATCTGCGTTGATCGTCACCCCGTGTTGAGATAAACGATCAAAAAGTGTTCGTACGTGGCGTATGTGCTCTTCTCGTGAAGAGCTTGCGATTAAAATGTCGTCGAGATACGCGTAAGCGAAGTCTAAGCCGCGACAAACTTGGTCGATGAAACGCTGAAAAGTTTGCGCGGCGTTCTTCAGACCAAATGGCATGCGCAGAAACTCGAACAAACCAAATGGAGTCGTCACGGCAGTTTTAGCGATGTCCGCTTCGGCTACCGGAATTTGCTTGTATGCGCGTACCAAGTCGATTTTGCTGAAGATCTTTTTACCCGCCAGACTGGCGGTGAGACCCACTATGTGTGGGATCGGATAGCGATCAGGCGTGGTTACCGTATTCAAGGATCGATAGTCGCCACAAGGACGCCAGTCCCCCACAACGTTCTTCGGGACCATGTGCAGAGGCGACGCCCATGGGCTGTTGGACGGTCTGACGATACCAAGTTGAAGCATGTGGTCAAATTCGGCTCGTGCTGCACGTAGTTTGTCTGGAGCAAGCCGTCTTGGTCGTGCGCTAACTGGTTGACCGCGCGTAACTATGTGGTGAGCGACCTCTGTCGTGACTGGTGGAAGCTCTGCAGCCGGTCGAACCAGTCGCGGGTATTCGGAGAGGAGGCTCAAGTAGTCGGACGGTGCGTTTGCGATCCGAAATACAGGGCTGATTATCGGGGCATCTGAAAGGACACCATCAACACCTAGTTTCGTACGATCGTCTAAAAGTCTGTGGCGACTAGCATCAACAAGCAACCCAAAATGTCGGAGGAAGTCGATACCGATAATTGCAAAGGGTACAGACGCAACCATGAAGACCCACTGAAAATCTCGGCGAAGATTGAGGTCTAGGTTCATCATGTGCTGACTGAATGAAGCTATCGGAGAACCGTTGATCGCACGCAAATTGTACGTAGGCTCTGAGTGCTTGTCGTTAGCGGTCGCTGGGATGACGCTGACTTCCGCTCCCGTATCGATGAGGAACGTGATGGAAGAACGTCGATCCTTAACGTAAAACAGGCGATTTGCTTGGTTATTGACTGATACGTTTGTCGCGCTAGTATGCGCGCTACCCGCTTTCCCTGAAGCAGGTGGGTCATGCCTAATGCAGGGAGCCCGACAACGTCTAACTCTTCCACCGTATTGGCGGTGATACCAACATACTTCTTCGACAGGTTTGGTATTATCTGACTGAAAACGTGCAGGGAAAATGTTGCGCTTTCGTGCCGAACGAGATGTACTCGGTGCAGGCACAGACGAGCCGCAATGAACGGTAGCCAAAACGTGGTCAGCATTTGACCGTGGCACGCGCCGCTTCGAAGCCTTCATTGCTGCTATCCTGCTGCGAAGTAGCGCAATTTCCTCGTCTTTAGGGTCAGATCGGCCTGAGGACTGGGAGCAAATATGGGATTCGGTTTTCATCGGTGAGGATACGTCAACGGAGCTACTGGTTGTCTGCTGCGGAAAAGGTTCGAACGCAGCGTCTGCCTTGGTAGCTAATTCTTTCAGGGGTGTGTCTATAAAGATGGACAGCATTAGCGACAATGGCTCTGGGAGACGTGCAAACCGCATCTCCTTTATCCCTTCTTCGCTCAAGAATAAGGAACAAGCGATGCGCTGAAGTTCGCGGAGCAACGCCGACGGTTTGCAATCTCCAACCTTGAGACCACTGGGCTGTTCAAATCGAGCTCGTGCGCTGGGCCGTAACTCTTTTAAAAGCACTTGCCTCATAGTTTCATACTTTGCCTCATTCGATGGGCAGAGTAGAATGCCCTCAATCAGCGTCACAAGCGACGAAGGAAAGCGTGGGACGAGCTGATTGTACCTCCGACGGTCTGCCGTAATGCCCTTATTTTCCAGTTCGATCTCGAATATCGTAAACTAAACCTCTGGGCTGTGTTCTATGAAACTTGGAACAGCCAAAGTAAGCATGTTTACGCTGCGAAACGACTCTAGTGCAGCTCTCAAAATGTGAATCGAAAAGATAAAGGATGAACAAAAACACGATAAAAGTACTAATATAACGCAAGAAACAGTTGAATAGGGGTATGTATTCGAGAAAAAGGAACGAACTCACCAAAAAATACAAACTAGGAAAAAAGTTGAATTCTCGCGTGCGAATCGGGGTCACTAATTTGTAGGACTAGTTAATACTAGTCCGAGACGGTGCGCGAAATTAAGTGCGGATATCAGAAGGCAATCAGAGTCGAACACAGCGGACTGTATTTGATGGGCTACAAGAAGACGCGTACGGATGAAGCGAGACAAGAGCGAACACGTGAGCGCGCAACTTACATGGCGGTCGAGTGTCGAGCCGGTTGTAAGGAAGAGTAAAACAAGAAGGAGTAATGTACAATCGGTCAACAATTAAATTGTACATGAAAGATAGCAGTTATCTTGTTGGGCGCTACAAGACTAAGCAGAAAGCAATAAAGGAAGACAGTACAGGAAGGGCAAAATCAGGGAGGCTTCATGTGATAATTCGTAAAATCAAACATCATTTTGCCGTGTCTACATCCTGGTATTTCTAATGACATATCACTTTAATATCCTGAGACCGGTATCTTGAAGACAAAAAATACATTTACGCAACCTCCTAGCTCCATCTCCAGTGTTACCCTTTTTATTGTCTTGTATATCTAGCGCATCAGCGGTGTGCATTCCTGTGGGCTCTGTAGAAGAACAGACCTGCGGTCCTTCGCTAACTAGGCAGCCATTATTATTGCGGCCCCAGAAAATGGCGGTAGATGATTTTGACCTGGAGCCGCACATCTTTGTCTATAATGCATCCAGGAAACCCTTTTAAACATAACATTATTGTCCTAGGGCATAGTGGCAATTAAAGCTGTCTCCGCAGAATAACGGCTGTTAGGTAGAATTCCCGCCAATGAATACGCAGTGCAAGGCTCCGAATAAGCGATTAGGCGATTCCGCCCCCATAATGGCTGTTTGAAGAGGTTGAATGTCGACGAGTTTATGTGAAATTACTTGGATCCAAACTATAAGGCGTTGATAAGAGTTAGACGTAATGCAAACGAATCAGCACACACATATACCGAGTGTCAAGTATGTTGATCCATCCATTAAACAAAACGCGGAATAACTATCGAACAAATGAAGAGGCATTACTTTCATATAGACCGTCGTCGTCATTTAGCGTACAACATTCTCTCTTTTTAATTGCCTTTCCAGGTCTCTACGTTACGCAAACAGTGCACGAAGGTTACATTGGAGGAGATTCGTGAAATTGAGGCAACGGAATCAGAAGATCTGTATAAGTCCCTACGCGAGCTGCGTAACGAAGTTGGCTGGCTAAAGGTACGTCCAGTCAGAACGCATTCGAGGATATCGCAGTACTATATTATCGGAAACATTTGTCGGCTGAGTGCCACTCACATAGGTCTTAATTCCCATCAAACAAAAGAACAATTAACATAACATGGCTAAGCGTATTAACCTTAGGGAAAATCAAGGAGGAATATCTGGAAAGAGGAGGACGAAGAAGCGGTTTCATAGATGTGGTTCATCAACGCTTAGGTAGGAGCGTCAGAGAATGTATGGTAGTAAAATGCAATCCCACCGGCGGCTGCAGTTAGACAAGCATCCGGGTAGTTCGTCAGAAAGACGAACAAGCAGGATCCACCATGGATCAGTTGCTAACCAGCAGGTGATTAAGTGGAATCAGCACAGCAACCAGCAAAACGTCACATAAGCACTAACGCAAAATTGTGGTTGAGTAAAGGCGATCTAAAGGTTCTAAGTAACAACAGTGTCAGATGTCATAGATCTTATGCGCAGTTTAACGAGCAATAATAATAATAATGTGTCAGCTGTACCCCGTAACGGTGCTTCGCTGCCACGCGATCACCACCAGTCGCACGCAAGCTGAGTATACCGCGAGGACGCCCACCCCTACGCGGATTCGAACCGGGGACGTTGTGGTTGCAAACCAGGAGCGCAGACAACTCGGCCACCGGCCGACTCCAACGAGCAATGGAACTCAAAGAAGAGTTCATTTGCTAACGAAGATGGTTACAGTATCCATCTGGATTTCTGTAGACAGGCCGAAAAATCATTATTCACTCTTGGAGTACCCGCCGTGTGTCTGAATTACGACACGCAATCTCAATTTTGAAGCTATAGTTTGCTTTGAAGCAAACCTATGCGATTCCAGTGATCAAAACGGCATAAGTTTGTTTCAAAGTAAACGGTAGCATCAAATGAGATTGCGTGTCGCAATCCAGACGCACGGCGGGTACTCCAAGAGCCAATAATGAACTTCTAACCGCTGTGGCAAGCGCTGCTGTGGAGCTCTAAATTGGTGACCAAGACGAAAGCCGTCAACCATTGTGTTGGGCTCCCCTCTCGGCTCAAGCTATCTCTACCTGATGAGTCCTAAGCAAGGCGAAACCGATCGGTCGTGGAGTGCAGTGCTAGGAGAAAGCAGCCCCCGAAACTCTGCAGGCCGAAAAACCATGTCAAGTTTTGTGCGCTAACAAATAGTAGAGCATCCGCGGTATCCAAAGCAGTAGTCTTTAGGACACTGGCCGTCTGGAGTGGTGGTATTCCAGGATTAACCTTTCTTTGAAATTCACATACATGTATAGCAGTTGGGTGCCACTCGCAAACCTGAGTACCATGTTCTCCTGCCATCCGTACTTGTCGACTCTAATGAGCGAAGTACAGGAGTTTCTGATTACTTTGTAATCATGTAGTATCACATGGGCTTAGACGGTGTTGCCGCAAAATCGCACCTCTTCTATTGATTCGTTTACGTGTCCTGCTTCAGATCTAAGTGCTGCTACAGCGCGATACCCGTAATGGTACAACTTTGGACGCTGCTTGTAAGACCCATTTATTTTACTGTTCACATTATCCCATGCGGCGTTCGCCAAACTGTGTAGCTGAAGGTCCCAGTCAACGGTAGGTTGTGAAACTTAGAACAATCCGTAATAGTTCAGTGGAACAATGGTATATTACGGGCAAAAAAGCGGATGCTTAGCAATACCGGTAGGATGGCCAGAATGAGCACCACAAAATGGTGAATAGAAAACAGTGATAAAATAAAAATCGTTTTTGTGGACTCACCACAGTGTTAACACAAAGGCATGCAGAAAGGGCCAACCTCAGTTGTGTAGATTAATTCTGGTTGTGCAACTTCCGTCATATTATGTCGTCTGGTGAGGCACACAGGATATATGTCGTAATGCAGGTGTGTTAGGGCAACGTCAAGGCGTATTTAAACAAGTAAAGTAGGAGCGGAAACAACGTAATTTGGGAGGCATTGCATGGCCGGCACACATGAAGTAAGCAAAAGTTCCATCGACATTCTAGCTGACTGTTTGCGTGGCTAACTTGAACCGTTAGCCCCTCAAATTCGTGTTGTGGCTCAGTTGTAGCATGTTGCGGCAGACGTGGTTGGGGTTTCCTAAAATCTGGTAGCCCATAATAAGGTCGCAACGTAGGTGCCGGTACCGGCTGCTGTATAATTTTAGGGTCCTCAGTCGAAGTTGTTAAGCAAGATTGACCAACCCTTTGACCTGCTTCGTAGCTCCCCGCTGTGGAGTCGCAAGTGCTGCAAGGTCTTGCTTATGCCAGGGCTGCCAGGTCTAGATTGCGTATTCCACATGAGGCCGCACGTGGGTGTTTAGCGATTGCGAACAGACAGAGGGATCAAACTGCTCAAATGCCCTCCCCAGAATGCCAACGTGTTGGTTTCCAGTCTTTGACACCTTCTCGGATTGTTCTGAGCAGTCCAGATCTGGCGGGACTAGCACCGCTGGGTCGCGCTCCTGGGTGACTGCTTGTAGGGCAGCATGATCTTCAAACTTGTAGACGATGTTCTGCTGGTGGCGAATGTGAACCACCTTACACTTCCCCGAAATGAACTGGAGCAGATTGTAGAGTGACCACTCATACGTTCTGTCCAGATCTCGCTGAAAAATATTGTGATCTTCTGGGTCGGCGATCGTCCGCCACATCAGCGCACAGCAAGAAATCTGAGTCAATCAAACACGTAATCTCGTTATTGAACATGGAAACAGACGCAATCCCAGAACTGGTCCTGGTGGAACTCCATATTCGATGTAAATCGGATCAGACAGCGCACTTCGAAATCTGACCTGCAGTTGCCGATCCTGCAGGAAATTCCTGATACACCCAAGAAAGGGATCCCCAACTTCATAGCTTTCGAGCATGTGAAGCTGAATGCGGTGGTCGTGGATCGAAAGCTTCGAAGAAGCCGAGATAAATGACGTCTGTCCCTCTACCTGTATCAGCCGCTTCCGTCCAACTACTGCGTGCAATCTATGGGTTGGTAGTGCATGAACGGTGCTCGTGAAAACCGTGTTGCTCGGGTGCTATGATGTTGTGGCTTTCTAGATGGTCTACTAAAGCCTCAGCGATGATTGCCTCCATCACCTTTGAGAGCACATGGAAGAGGACCACTGGGCGATAGTTGACGGGTACCGAGCGATCACCGCGTTCGAAAATTGAAGTGATTAAGCCGTGTTTCCACATGGCAGGCAAAACGTGCTTGGATAAGCAAATTGTGCCCATCATGTGGAAACATGGCTTAATCACTCCAATTTTCAAAAGCGGTGATCGCTCGGAACCCGCCAACTATCGCTAGGTGATTCTCCTCCCTGTGCTCTCAAAGGTGATGAATGCAACCATGGTTGCGTTTCTAGTTCTTCATCAAAAATACTGATAACACATAACGAAACTTTAGGACTGAATGGTTGCTACGGCTCATTGGATGGTCGCATGCCACTGACTTAACCATCAACTGTTCATTGGTCAGGATTCAGTGCAGAATTGATGGCTTGTTGGAACCGTGGTGTCTGGTTGGTAGATGCACATGGTTATACAAGATGCTATATCCATGAATTTAAGGAGTGTTGATTGGAATGGTGGTCCAATGGAGGGTAATGACACTATTGTAACTTGAAGTCATCCCGTATAAGGTAGTGAGAATACGTTCCTGAAAAAGTACAGTGGAAAGCGTTTGACAGATTGTTAGCGTTGTCTGCGGAGGAGTTCGGTGGCATATAGATAACCGCTAAGCGGCAACCATCACGTGTCTTCTTGTGTGATCCATCATCTCCACCTTCTGGCTGAAGTCGGCAAAATAATGCGTCGGAAATAACAAGGGAACGTTTGGTAAGGGCCCTAAATTTCAGGTAATCTCGATAGTAGTTAGCAAAACCGCTATCGCGAGATGGACGATCATTCCGAACGACTGACATCTCACTGAGTTCAATCTATGGATCTAGTATGTTGTTCGAGAGCTAAGTTTCAGTCACTGCTACGGCATCACAAGTTGATGTTTCATTTTGATACCGCAGTTTCTGAAGCTTAGAATAAAACCCTTGAGTGTTGATGGAGTAGCGTTGCATTTGTTGATGCAATAAGAGCTCGGTTCACTATGTGTGACCGGCGCAAACATAGGGATTTGCACGACTGGCTTATCTGACGTAGGAACAACCGAGTCTGGCTCCTCTGTAAGTAGGGTCTGTACTGTTTCATTGAATGGTTTTAACCGTATTTCTGGTGACCCAGATTTCCTGTTGTCATGCCACGCTTGGATAGCTATTGATACCATCTCCAACGTAGCCAAGGTGCCATTCATCCTACTGACAGTGGATAATTATCAGTCATATCCATGTCAAAAATCTCACGAACATTCCATTAAAATATGTCATCTAAATTCAACCAATGGGCCAAGGAATCATCAAAATATTCAAAACATCCTGTGATTGATCAAGGTCACTCACAAGTGGACACAAAACCGAAGCTCTGACAATTTGTGCAATATGTAGGTTCGCTACATGCAACCTTAGCGGAGTTTGGATTACTATATACCATACAATTCTTTACAGTGTGCTCTTTGCGTAAGCAAAAGAATCGGAAGGAAAGCTATCAGATTTTTATGAAAACAGTAAAACTTTCTCAATTATCCTGTGATTCGCCTTGTAGTGGGGTTTCCCCACACAATTCATCACACATCGCCCGAGTTCCACTCATCAGACAAGGAATTACCAGCTCTAGCCAGTGGATTACCAAGCGTAGGAATTACTCCATTGCCTTATCACCTAAATCGTCTTTCCGGTTTTGGAGGAGATTTGTCAGCTAGCCGACCGCATCGACTGACCAACTTGATCGGTAGACGGTGACCGATCCACTCTGTTGTCGCGTCAATCACGTTATCCTGCAGCAAGCAGCGCTCCGGCTAGTAGATAGGATTACAACTCACACCGGCAATCATCTGACATTGCGACGGTTGGACCGGCGTGTGAATTGAAACCAGCGTGCAGTGC